GAGCAAAGTGGATAGAAGAGGGCGAAAAGTCAACAAAGTACTTTACTCGAATGGTGGAACAACGAGCCGCGCAAAAGAATATCACCGCGATTAAGGAGATAGACGGTAGCACAGTTAGGGGCAATAAAGCAATCTTAAATGCATGCGCCGATTATTACAGAAATCTTTACGAGTCAAAATCATTAGGACGCGATAAGTATAGTTATTTTGTACCTGATAACAACGCAGAACGGCTGTCTGAGGTAGAAAAGCTAGCATGTGAGGGACCGATCACAAAAGAAGAAGGAAGAGTTGCCCTATCAAAAATGGCATTGAATAAAGCCTCAGGAATATCGGGGTTTTCTGCAGAATTTTTCGCCCTGTTCTGGGATGATCTAGGTGAGCTTTTGACTGATTATGTAAATGAGGCGCGAAGCCAGGGAATGTTTTTTATAGCCCATCGTAGAGGTGTTTTAACGTTAATCCCCAAAAAAGGTGACCAAAGAATGTTGGAAAACAAAAGGCCAATCTGCTTACTTGATGTTATTTATAAACTGGTGGCAAAAGTGATTGCGTTAAGAATTGAAAAAGTGATAGATAAACTGATCAATAAAAGTCAAACTGGCTTCCTAAAAGGCAGATATATCGGTGAAAATCTAAGGCTGGTGTCAGATGTTATAGAATATTGCAAAATAGACGACGTAGATGGAATTCTACTTGCATTAGATTACAAAAATGCTTTCGATTCGATCGAACACGATTTTTTGCAATTCACACTCGAAAGCTTTAACTTTGGACCAAACTTGCGATCTTGGATTACGCTGCTGTACACGGGTGCTCAGCTCACAGTTTCCAATAATGGATATACTTCTGACTGGTTCCCGTGTACCAGAGGGACGTTTCAAGGCTCGCCTCTCAGCGGGTTGTTGTTCATCCTCTCGGTGGAGTTGTTAGCGATTAAGATACGGTCCATGCAGAATATTCAGGGCATTGTGATCAGTGGTCAAGAAGTTAAACTCAGTCAATATGCTGACGACAGTACTTTGTTTCTCCGCAACAAAGATTCTGTCGAGCAGGCCTTAGACGTCATAAAAGTATTCCAACAGGCATCTGGACTTGAACTTAACATCCACAAAACAAAGCTCATGTGGCTCGGTAAACGGTCGAACGCTTTCGAATCCATTCATGCCATTGAAGCTGTGCCAAAAATCAAAATTCTGGGAGTTTGGTTCTGTGCGTCAGGCCCGTGTGGCGCTGACAACATTGCACCAATCACCATTAAAGTAAAGCGTATATTAAATTCATGGTCGCAACGTAGTTTGACGATTAAAGGTCGAATCGTGGTGTCAAAAACCCTGCTAGCTTCCCAGATCGTCTTCTTGTCGATGTGTGCCACTATTCAAAAGGCAGATTTGGACGAACTTCAGAGACTGCTCATGAATTTTCTTTGGAGAGGCAGACCCCCGAAAGTGGCCAAAGCTACATTAGTGCAAACGATTAGAAATGGTGGTCTAAACGCTGTAGATATTTTTTGTTTCTACACAGCTTTACAATTATCCTGGATTAAAAGAATGGCGTTCTGTTCCGAATCCCCATGGCGGATTATTTTACAACGCCGTTTAGGGGAATTCAATATAACTGACCTTCTTAAGAGCAACAACGCCAAATCATATTTAAGAGAACTGAAAGTTCCTCAATTCTATAAAGACATAATATCAATATTCCATAACATAAATACGTCACCAGTAAACAATGCCGTTCAAGCCCGACTGCAAAATCTCTGGCACAACGATAAAATTAAGGTGAACAACAGACACACATTCAACAAAGCCCTGTACAGTTGTGGAATACGATACGTTGACGACTTAGTTGGCGATAACGGCGAGTTTTTGAACTACGCGCAGATTCTAAGAAAGTTCCCACGATTAAATGTAGACTTTCTCACCATTAACTCTTTGAGAAGGTCAATCCCAAAGGAATGGAAAGACATGATTAAAGGTAACCCACTTAGTGTGGCCACGTCGGAGGACAAAGAAAACATTTTCTTTCTAGGTAGTAATTCGTCTAAAGTCATGTTGGAACACTGCAGAAGTCATCACTATTATAAGAGACTGATCGACAAACATCAACCTAGAGCGGAAATTAAATGGACGGAAGAAGGTGCACGCGTTGCTAACTGGAGTAAAATTTACATGATCCCATATAATTGTACAAAATCTACTAGATTACAGTCACTTCATTATAGGATTATTCATCGGTACATTCCCACCAGGAAATTCCTATGTACGAGGGGGATAGCTGGTAGCCCACTCTGTTTGAAATGTTTCGCCGTGGACACATTACAACACTTTTTCTGCGACTGCGAAGACGTTGAAAACCTTTGGGTGATAATCGTTGGTGCTTTAAAACGTTCCTTTAATCTTTCTGATCGTCAAACATCTAGCGAAAATATGTTACTTGGAATATGTGATGCGCCTCCTGTTGTTAACCTTATAATTCTCCTGTGTAAGAATTATATAATAAATTGCAAACTAGGGCAACATGTAGGTGATAATATAGATATTGAAACATTCAAACACATCCTCAAACAAGAATTCAAAGCAGAGATGTTGATCGAAAAGAAAAATAATGTCGTAGAAGATGTAATTAAGAAGTGGCATAAGGTATTTGATGCTGAGGGGAATTGTGTATTGTTCTGACACGCGTGAACTTATAACCCGGTCCCTTGTACCGGGCTGCACCGATTAGGCGCGATTGCGCGAAATGCGTAACGAGCGAGCATCGCCTCGTGCGATCCGTGGCCCCCGCCCTACCCCATCCGGGCTAACCCGTGCCCGGCCCCCTGCATATGCAGGGCAGGCCGGGCCGCCGGCCCGTCGCGCGGACCGCCTGTGGCCCGCGCTTGGCGGGCCGGTGGTCAGGGGGCGCCGCCTCGCGTGGGTAGACGCACGTAGGTGCGAGGCGGCGCGGGCGGGGGCCAACAGCCCCGTCCAAGCCCAGTGCGGGACGGGCTGAGGCATACCCGGACGTACCTGTAATGTCATTGTCTATTATCTACATAGGTGTGTCTATTGCCAACTGCTTTTGTGTGTACTCAGTGTTAAGTTGTGGACTCATTCTAAGTGTCAATCTGTGTGTGCGACGTGTGTTGTGTCTTCTTTATGTGTAAATAAATTATTCTGCCAGAAAAAAAAACCAGGGCTGCGGAGTCGGAGTCGGAGTCGGAGTCGGTCGGAGTCGACAGTTGTAACCGGAGTCTGAGTCGGAGTCGGAGTCGATTTTAGGAACCCGAGCCGGAGTCGGAGTCGGAGTCACCGAAAATCTGTCGACTCCGCAGCCCTGCTAGGTCTGCGGAGTCGGAGTCGGGAGTTGGAGTCGGTCGGAGTCGACAATTCTGCCCGGAGTCGGAGTCGGAGTCGGAGCTGGTTTTTGAAAGCCGGAGTCGGAGTCGGAGTCGGAGTCGCCGAAAATCCATCGACTCCGCAGCCCTGCTCACCACGCCTAGTTCTTGCTGCAAAACGCAGTCGCAATAGCACATACCGATACCCGATACCGCACGCTGCCACCATTACGCGCTGTATACGTCTAATACTGCCCGTCCACCTCTAATAAACAAGCAAACAACTAACTAACATCACAGGCAGTGTTCGCCACGCCATGTGTGAAATGTCCATAACGGCAATACAGTGCATACATAACATCCATCGAGCAAACCGCAGAGGCCGCCATGCCCAGCCCCTTCATGCTCCATTTCCCCGCTATGGGCGGGAGCCAGCGGGTAACTGCGAGGTCGGCAGCGTGCCGAGACCCCGAAATGTCGTATCGCTACACTGGCATATAATCACCCAAATCCACCTGACCCTACCTCCCCGGCCGGCGGAGAGCTAGAGATAGGCACAACGCCAACAGTAATGTCGAAAATCTACACAGGTAGGTATTTACACACAACTGCAAGCACATGTATTGTGATTACTTCCACCAAGTGGACGCAACAGCCAGCATGAAAATACCGCGCTGTCACTTCTAGGAACGTCGAAAATGGCACGCTTACTCGTATTCTTCTTTCTGTCACTTTCAACATGCAACGACACAGCCCGCGGACTTGAGTATATTTCATGCAGCACCAGTACCCCACGACGATAATCCTATTTCCAATGCTTGTTTCACAACAGTTGATCCAATGTCCTCTCATCTAGCGGTTTCCCAACAGCAAGCCATGGTGCGATCATATGCCAGAGCCAGTCTGGCAAAGGTCGACCACCCCCGGGAGGATGTCCAGCATCTCACTCTCGCCAGTTAACTAGGCGTGTCACAAGGCGAGCAGGTGGCGTGGAGCTGGCCCCCGCCAGACGGTAATTAACTCTGAAGGAATCATGGCATTGATGGCCTCCCATTAGGCTGGGAAAATTGATGGATCAAACTGCAATCAGTGGAATGGTACACTGCTTAAAAATGCATGAGTTGTCGTAAAACCGTGACAGGAGGTGAAATGGTGCTCTTCCAGGAAGAAGGTAAGTGCGGTCATGCAGTAGGTCGTTTAGCGAAATCGATAAGGAATAGCGATGTTGTCAACAAAAAAAAAAAAGACTGCTGCGCTGATGGCTGCTTCGTTGTGAGGTTTGTAAACAGGTTCTTATCCGAAATGGATACGCGGAAGGAAGCTTCTCTAGTGAGATAAATTGGTGAACCAACAAGACGTCACACAACCATTACAGCATCCTGGCATCACACTATTTTTTTTTTCAAAACTGAAACCACATGAGCCCTTGGGAAAGGCGACTCTGTTTTACTTTCGGAAGGAATTGGCGCGGAGCGTGCCGTCTTTCCTTGATGAAGGTCATTGTGGCGAGCGAGCTGTCTCGCCTTGAGGAAGCACTTGACAGTAAAAATGCTGCCAGAACTTGGCGGCAGACATGCTGTCTGATATTATAGAGAGTAGGTATGCAGTCTTACTTTGGGAGGAAGATGGCAGCGAGCATGCTGCCTTGAGGAATGACTTGGCGACGAGCGTGCTGTCTTACCTTGAGGAAGGACTTTGCGGCCAGCTCGAAGGCGCCGTGTCGGAGGCGCAGCAGACCGGCGGCCAGGTGCAATTTAGTCTGTACAGACTCCCGCCAGGGCGCAGACTGCCGGGACAGGGCATATGTCCGCGTCACAGAGAGAATAGGGGTGTGAACCGGAGAGGGATATAAATGTGGAATTGGTGTAAGAAACAGATGGGGGACAGATGGGGGAACAGATGTGGCCGTGTTGGAGTCAAATAGAGAATATGTGAACACATCACTCGACACTTCGAGAGGTGCTATACTGAAGCATCAAGCCAATAGGCATGCCTTTAGATAAACAACTGACAGTGTAAAACAATGCAACTGAGGTTAGTAATTGAGCTCAACAATTACAATCCGGTGCGCATGAAGCCACCTCAAACGCGTCACTTTCGTACCTCGTTCTCATCGTGTGTGCTCTCTGCCTTTGTGACGTAGCTGCTCACGTGGCCCCACTGCTGCATGTGCGCCGACACCTGGTGGACGGAAAGCGAACTACAGTTAGCCATGTCTACCGCTAGTTGACAAAAGGACACATCGCGGGTTACGGACAAAAGTACGTATCGCTAAAGTACGTAGGACAAAAGTACGTAAGCAAAAGTACGTAGGATTAAAGTACGTATCGCAGAAGTACGTACAGTATAAAGTACGTATGGACAAAAGTACGTCAGGGACAAAAGTACGTATCGCAGAAGTACGTACAATATAAAGTACGTATGGACAAAAGTACGCCAAGGACAAAAGTACGTATCGCAGAAGTACGTACAGTATAAAGTACGCATGGACAAAAGTACGTCAGGGACAAAAGTACGTCAGGGACAAAAGTACGTATCGCAGAAGTACGTACTATATAAAGTACGTATGGACAAAATTACGTCAGGGACAAAAGTACGCATCGCAGAAGTACGTAGGGTATTAAGTACGTATGGACAAAAGTACGTCACGGACAAAAGTACGTATAGCTAATGTACGTTGGGTAAAAAGTACGTATGGACAAAAGTACGTCACGGACAAAAGTACGTATCGCAGAAGTACGTACAATATAAAGTACGTATGGACAAAAGTACGCCAAGGACAAAAGTACGTATCGCAGAAGTACGTACAGTATAAAGTACGCATGGACAAAAGTACGTCAGGGACAAAAGTACGTATCGCAGAAGTACGTACTATATAAAGTACGTATGGACAAAATTACGTCAGGGACAAAAGTACGCATCGCAGAAGTACGTAGGGTATTAAGTACGTATGGACAAAAGTACGTCACGGACAAAAGTACGTATAGCTAATGTACGTTGGGTAAAAAGTACGTATGGACAAAAGTACGTCACGGACAAAAGTACGTATCGCAGAAGTACGTAGGGTATAAAGTACGTATGGACAAAAAAAGTACGTCACGTACAAAAGCCTACGTATAGCAAATGTACGTAGAGTATAAAGTAGGGTAGCCTTGGGCAAGACGCCCCAGATAATTTATTTTGCTACATAGGTACCTACTTTTGTCTCACACCACCTGGAAGGCCAAATTTGTGCTCAATGTGTTCTTTGGACATTTTACTTTAAATTCCACCCCTCAAATTCATTCACTTATGATCGGACTCCCAGCTAGGAAGTGCTTTGTGAAGCAACTGCAAATGGGGCATTTTGCCCCAACCCCAGGGCAAAACGCCCCACGACATGAGGCAAGAAGCCCCATACACTAGATTAACCCTCGCGGGCCCGGGGGGCGTTTTTCGCCCCCCCCCCCCCCTGGCGAATATTTGCGATAGCTCCCGAACGTTTATACGGATAGGAAAGCGAAACTTTCATTACCGTTTCTCCCATCAATTTGACATCTTCTGAAGTAAAATAATTTGGACCTAGCCCCATTGATGACGTCACAAAGTCGATTTTTACTAGACCCCTGCAGTCTGCACGGCAAACTTCGGTGTCACAGACGCAAACTTCAAATAGCTGCTAAAAATAGAGTTTTAGAGATAAAGACAAATTACGAGCACAGTTGTGTAGCGTTTGACCTAGAGAAAAATACCAAAATAGTTTTAGTGACCTGAGGTCAGAGGTCAGGTCAACGACCCCGAGCTGTGGTTTAGTTTTTCGCAAATAACTTCGACAAAAATGGTCCTAGAGCTACGGCAGTGGTACCATCGCATTTGCCTTGTCAAGCCGTGTCGAATGATTTTTGCATACGAACTTTTGCGTACGAACATTTGCGTACGTACTTTTGGCATACGTACTTTATACACTACGTACTTTTGTATACGTACTTCTGCGTACGAGCATTTGCGTACGTACTTTTGGCATACGTACTTTATACACTACGTACTTTTGCATACGAACTTTTGCGTACGAACATTTGCGTACGTACTTTTGTCATACGTACATTTTACACTACGTACTTTTGCATACATACTTTTGCGTACGAACATTTGCGTACGTACTTTTGGCATACGTACTTTATGCACTACGTACTTTTTCATACGTACTTTTGCGTACGAACATTTGCGTACGTACATTTGACATACGTACTTTATGCACTACGTACTTTTGCATACGAACTTTTGCGTACGAACATTTGCGTACGTACTTTTGGCATACGAACTTTATCGCCTACGTATATTTGCGTACGAACATTTGCATACGTACTTTTGTCCTACGTACTTTAGCGATACGTACTTTAGTCCTAAAATCACACATCGCAGCCCTGAGGGCGGAGTAGAAGCGCCGTGCATTCGACTGATTCGAGGTCGTACTGAGCTTGTCATCAGGATGCTAAGCGCACTAAGAAAGCCAATGCGTGTATCATATACTGTATGCTTACCAACGCCTGTAAAAACGAACCATGGCAAAAGCTAGATCGTGCAATGTAATAATCTGACGAGGAATTATTGCTTGACAACGAGCGATTACGAAGCCCAGTCTATTTCTCACTGAATGCACCACCACTAAGATTTGCATCCCTCAATTTTTTGTACACCCATCTTCAGAGACCAATCTGCCTGATCCACAATATCCCAGCTGACACAGGACACTACATCCCCAAACTGTCCCTTCCTATCCTCTCCCATCCTCCCTCCTGACCTCAAAGTACCCCCCTGCTCCTCCATGTCTCCCACCTTGATGACGTTGAGGCAGACGTGGATCATGTGCTTGCCGCTGGTACAGTAGTCTCGCGCGCGCGAGTAGCACTTCAGCGCGTTGCTGAGATCGCCACAGTCCAGGTAGTGGTCGCCCAGGTCGTCGTGACCGCGACGGATGGACTCTTTGATCGAGTTCGACTTGTAGTTCTTCAGGTCGTTGTCGAGCTTTTCCAGCTGTGTGGAGGGTGTGGCGGGGTTAGAGCTATGCAGTTTGAGTTTTTCTACGGAGTCTGGTGGACGGATGGTGGAGGTAACAACACTGGCAGAGTCGATGCTTTGGGGCTTCTGCATAGACAACCTATAGTTATACGGACGTGGTCTATAAGCATCACCTGCAGTTTGAGGGATCACGGATAGTTGGGGTAAGTCACGTTACCGGCGCGATCAGCTGACGATAATATCGGAGCCTGCCGCATCACAATGGGACATAAAAGCCTGTACCAATGTGCGAGCATAACCAGCGCAAGTGCGACTGATCCTAGCACCTAACAAACTGCGGAAGTTAACGGGACACATATTACACATGTGACCATAATGGAGTCAGGAGTGTCATACCTGATTGTCATACGGACATAAATCTTCCTCGGGGCACCTACAGCGATCATATCATATTTTCCCACTTTACTTTACGCAGCGTGATTATGTTCACGCTACGACCCCAGCCGCCCTTAGCGCCGTGATGTCGCCCCGTACCACCGTCCACCATTCCGCCCATCCTCACCTTCAGAGCCGCCCGCTTGGTTTGCGATTCGACCCACTGCTGGTCCAGGAGGGGCAGCGCGCCCGCTGAGCCGCCTCCCTGACCGGTTACATCGGGCAGACTCTGACCCGACCTGACCGAAACGGGACAGGGAGTCAGCGGGGTGATACCGGGGCAGGGAGGAACCAGGTGGACGAGAAAAGTGGTATAGTACTCGGTGACAGTATCAAATATCAAATAATCTAGCTAAAGCACGCACGTTTTATCAATGACGTAGCTGAAAGGGAGGTCAGAGGAATGCTTGAACAGGTAGCGCTAGTGACGATGGCGAGGAATACAGAGGGGCAGGGTGGAACTACCAAATAGCACGGACGCGTCAGCAGACTAGCATCAATAGATCCACGGCAATTTAGACGGCAAGTGGAGCGAAAGTCAACGGATGGCCTGGCACACTCTAAAGCTGAATGAGGTGATGAGTTGTGAACAAATTCGAGGATTGAAAAGTATGAAACAACGGAAAAGCAGGTACACATTGTCACACGAAAAGCAAATACCCGTCACAAATGGAGCAGAACGTAGTGGCTACCACATCGGTAAATGTAGATAGAGAAATGAAAATGAAACGAATTACATCATGATGCAAGCAATTTGAGATATTTCCTCGGGCAGCGCAAAATAAAGTACACAACTCAAAACAAGCGAGACCATCCACTCGGCTGTCTGGCGCTGGATTCCCGCATCCGCGCGCCACTCACGCTAGTGCCTCCTGCAGCTGCCGGTGCAGCGTCTGGTACATGGTCACGTTGAACGTGCTCTGCACCAGCTCTATGGCCATCTTGAGCGCCTCCACGCGCAGCGGCGGACACCTCTCGGCGATGAACATGAGCCGGTACAGCTGGCCCAGACCTGGCCGGCAGAGAGGGGACGCGGCGGCACTATGGTGAGAGGGGCAGCGGGCAGGCAACAGTGCCAGGAAAAACCAAATGAGAAACACAACAGGTACGTACGGCCGATCCTGCCAATTAATGACCGAAAGCTGGTAAATCATGTCCTTTAAATGATGATCAAAAGAATCGCGCGTTACTATTCATGCCCATCACAAGCTAATTTACTATTCATGCCCATCACAAGCTAATGCTTATCCATTGCTTCCAGTGCAAGCTACCTACAAGAAAATTAATCAACTGCTCATAAATTTTAAAGTAGGTACTTCATCTTATCTGGTCTTAGTATCGTTCGCCAACCCTCCTCTGTCGCAGTTCCTCCGCCTACTTCATCGGGTCTGTCTGTATACCTTTGTAGGAGGCGATGTAGGAGTCGAGGTCGATGCAGGCGGTCATCACCTCTGTCACCGGCTCCTCCACCGAGTTGTCGTTCTCCTCGGGCGCCGCGTCGATCTGCATCGGCTCCAGCGCCGGCTGCGGCACCGTCAGCGGCTCGTCAGGGAAGCGCCGAGACTGGGCTATCACTCGGCCACGGCTGGGCAGTCACTTGGCCACGGCTTAGGGCTATCACTCGGCCACGGCTGGGCTATCACTCGGCCACGGCGGGCTTAGGGCCATCACTCGGCCACGGCTTAGGGCTATCACCCAGCCACGGCCGGGCTATCACCCGGCCACGGCCGGGCAGTCACTCGGCCATGGCTGGGCAGTCACTCGGCCACGACTGGGCTTAGGGCAAGGCTCTATAGAAGCTTAGGGCTATCACTCGGCCACAGCTGGGCAGTCACTCGGCCACGACTGAGAGACCGCGACCGTTATGCTACAGTTCGGCTATGCTTGCTTTTTTCTGTCCCACTGTTGGGTTATGGGCTTGGTGTGACTGACAAGGCAAGGCAGGGCAAGACAAATGATTTAGATAGAAATGTTACCTATATGATAGTAAAAATAATTGACATACCTGACTGACAGCACTTCCTTGAAACATGCTCTTGAAAGGCATTTTGATGTGAGGTTCTTCTGAGTAGTTAGCTATCAGATGTCAATGCACTGACAGCTTTCATTCAGTGCTCTTCAGTTGCAGAAAGAAATCTGTAATGATATGCAAATACTCAATTACAGAGACAATAGGCAGTCAGAAGGAAGTCTTTTGATAGATACACAAGCAGGAAAAAAAAACATTGTGAGGTAAGACTATGAAGGGTTGAACACTATACAAACTAACTAAACAACACTGAGCTCATTGGGTCTTCTCAAGTGAACAGCAGCTTTGCAGTATTATTTGTGAGATGGTCAACCAAACATACACACCACTGACCACCAGACACCAAGTAATGTCACCAGAGCAAAAGTAATCAAAGGCCATGCTCTTTACCGGGCTGATCTTCATCTTACATTTCCTGTTCATGCAAAGCTTTTGGGTAAAACTGAAGCTGAAGTCCATATGCTTTTCAACGATAAGTTTTGTTCCTATCCATGTTTTCAATGTCCTGCATCTAAAAATGATGTCCAGTCATGCAGCAACTATGATAATCCATTGAAGGGAGGTCACTGGTGCCCTGACCCAACTTATTCTGACTTAACTCGGCCTAGCCTTCTGTCAGAGGTAGTTTGTTAGGTGTTATGTGGGTCATGGATGTAGGGTTGGGTAAGGTTAGGTTGGGTTAGGATGGTTAAGGTAAGATGATGTTGGATTAGAAAATAGAATAGTAATATTAGGCTGAGTTAGGTCAGATGAGGTTAGGTCAGGTGACCTCACCTAAATGGGTTATACTAGGGTTACCCGCGTGCTCCGCAACGCTAAGGGGGGATTTTTTGACCCGTGGGTTGGTCTGTGTCGATTTGGTTGGTAAATATCCATTTCGTTCGATTGCTTTTTGACGGCCAAGCATTTTGTAAGAAAACAAAAAGATACATCGCATCAAGCCTCGAGGTGCCCGTGTCGTATTATCATGCGTTCTACTTTAGAATGATTCGAAAACTGGCGTGAAGTCTTTTGAGGGCCATCGATGAATTTCGCTAAAAATGACAATGTAATGGTTTGGAACATTTACATTTTTAAGGATACTGTTGCTAATTATGCAAAAATGAAGAGTGAATATTGGACAGAATTGAATGCTCTATCCAATGGTACCATATTCAATTGCCAAAGGTATCAGGTTATGCAGCAAAACCCGTGTGATTAATAAAGTGTCACAAATTTGACAAACACCATTTTCTCCTGTGATTTGCACCACCTTGATTTGGATCAATCAGCTTTTCATAATTTTTATATGAGAGGCGGTACCTTTCTCTTGCAAATAGGCGTTGATTCAACTCGCTCCATTTAACGGTCACCTAAAAATAAAATTAATTCCAAAATCCCTCAAAAACCGCAATTTTTCAAATAAAAGTGCCCTCTCCGGTGCACGTGGCGCGTGCTATCCTCTGCATTGCACACCATTCAATAGCCCGTTCAATTCTGTACACGATGCTGTTTTCCCCGTGCCGGTCGGATCCCTGGTCACCAAGATATTGCACGGGAACTGGACCCGTGTCGGCCAAAATTAGCCATTTTCGCCCGATTTCGCACGCCGATTTATACATGTAAAGTCTATGACGCGAATTTGCACTTTTTGAGCACGCACCACGCGCTCCCTATCGACCCGATCGAGCTGAGACCCCTCAAAGGCACGTCGCGCATCCTTGATCTATGAGTTGTGCAAATTTCACCGGGCTAGGTGCAACGGTCTGGCCTGCAGTCCACGCAAAGCACCACCAAGTCGGGACCTCGGTAACGGACAGACGCACCCTCCTCAAATAGTAATATAGACAAGCGGCTGCGCCACTTGCTTTGCTGCGTGGTAGGAAAAATTGCGGCACCAGCCAATTTGCTTTCGAATGGTGTTTGATTTATGTCGATGTGTCGTCTAGAAGCATAGATATGGACGGAAATGTGAAGAGAATTTAAAAAAGAACTGTTCTGAGGGCGTTGTTGGATGAAATTTGGGTGATACGGGGTCAAGACGGGTCAAAGGGGTCAGCCCCGGTCACTTTGGGTCAGGCCAGGTCACAAAGGTCACCTCTCGTCCGCTGGGATCAGCCCGGGCCACTGTTCTGCTTTTGTCTCCACCACTACCCCTACTCCTACCACTACCCCTTCCACTACCCCTACCCCTACCCCTACCACTACCCCTACCACTACCCCTACCCCTACCACTACTCCTACCCATACTCCTACCCCTACCACTACCCTACCACTACCCCTACTACTACCCCTACCACTACCTATACCACTACCCCTACCCCTACCCCTACCACTACTCCTACCCATACTCCTCCCCTACCACTACCCTACCACTACCCCTACTACTACCCCTGTCCCCTACTACTACCCCTGTCCCCTACTACTACCCCTACCACTACCCCTACCCCTACTACTACTCCTACCACTACCACTACCACTACCCCTACCACTACCACTACCACTACACCTACAGCTCTACCACTACCTCCTACCACTACCTCCTACCACTACCACTACCACTACCCGTACAACTACCACTACCTATCACTGGGTCATGTCAGGTCACGGAATAATTGGATCCAATCAGTACTAAAAAATATCAGACTTAAAGTGTTCCCAGCCCTGCCCCTATTCGTGCCATTCCATTACCGTTACTCGATTTTGCCGGAAATGGCGCTTTGTGACAAATGTGGTGCATTGCGGCAAACGCGGCGCATTTTCACCCGGGATTGAGCATGCATCCTTGTACCAAATTGCACCCATATCGAACCATATTTGACAAAACTGTGCGATTTGCGGCAAAAATGACGCCCTGTGACCAATGTGACGCATTGCGGCAAACACAGTGCATTTGTATACTCGTATCGCAAACTGTTCCCATTGAATGAAAATCAACACATTCTCTCGCCACTTTTTATTCAAATTAAAAACTTGCCCATCCGCCAACGCGAGGCACCCGCCACCGATCGGCATGCATTTAGCTCACAAAGGTCGTCGACTCCGGCTCTCAATGAAGATCTACGAACCGATCAAAATTTCATTGGCGTTCTTCCGGCGCGCCCCACGCGCGAACCGTGCACCCCAGCGAGCCGAAACCTAGAAAAGGCACTGACCCGCTCTGTCACCTATAAGGTGTGCAAATTTCAACCCCCTACGATATACCGTCTGCCCTGTAGGCCGGCTAAATTGAACCCACTACACGGCGTGGCGGACAAACAGACAGACAGACAGATGGATCCTGTTGAAATAGTAAGATAGATTGACACTTGCTGCACTTATAAGCAATATTTTTAGATTCAAGATATTGAAGAAAAAAAAACATGAGGACCTCAAAGCCGTGTGACCTCAGCTTCAGAAGAAGCAAGCCTTGTAAGAGAAATCTTGGGCTTTAAATTTCTTTACAGCTCATTTCAGCATACACAATCTATGTATCATGAAATTATTGTACCTGTAGACAAATATATTAACCCCCGAATCTAAGCCACAAGTAGGTACTTGTCTATCCCACATCAGAGGACAGTGCACCAACTGAAAAATGATCTCCTGCCAGAATTTTTTGCCTAAATGCCAATGCTGCTTCACATACAGAGCATAAATGGTAGAGGTAAGGCCCTATCCACTTATGTGCCCATCGTTCTTACACTCCATATGTGAAGCAGTCTTTAGGCAAAAAATTCCAGCAGGCGGCTATTTTTCTGTTGACAAAACTGGCCTCAGTACCGCAATAATTTTACCTGTTACCTCTTGTACACCTCACAGCCCTTCCCTACCAAAAATAATAAGAGTCCAAGCAACATTGACCTGTTTAGCTTCTGCTTCCGCTTGTAATGCGCAGTGTCGCTAGAGTCTGTCATGTAACTAACCAAACAAAGCTCAGGCCTGACATAACCTTCCATTCACTGAAATGTGAGATTATGCAATGCTGGTATCTTCAAACTGTAAAATTTCTAGATGAGTCAGACAAATGTAAAAAAGGCCACCAAATAACGACCCAACTGTAGTGGAAAAGGGTAAATGTCAAGTTTAAGTCCTAAGCAGATTTCATACTTACTTATACTTATACTTATAAAATGCGGAATTTAGGAAGGCCTTTTGGCCTCTTGGATCCGGACGTGACGAGCTTTGTGTCAGTGTGTCACTGCATCAGTCGTTGGAATGTATGGTGTACTTGGCGTGAGCCCAGTGTTCGTCAAGCCTGGCCTTGAAGCTATTGACTGAGGGCGCATCGACGACAGCGGATGGCAGAGAGTTCCAGTCGTTCAGGACTCGTATGCTGAAGGCGTTCTGCCGCACTCTGGAGACAGCTCTTGGCTTGGACAGCTTCCACTCATGCCCTCGAGTTCTGGTCGTCGTCGCCGCAGTGAAGAACTGAGATGGGTCAACATCCACTCCCCGTCGAAGCACCTGGTAAACCGAGATCATGTCGCCTCGTCGGCGCCGATAGTAGAGCGATGGCAAATTCAGGCTCCGGAGTCTCTCCTCGTATGGCAGGTGGCGGATGCTGGCAACCAGTCTCGTGGCCCGTCGCTGTACCCGTTCAATGCGCTTCTGGTCTTCTCGGTTGAAGGGTCCCCAGACCGCGTTGGCGTATTCGAGATGGGGGCGAACCATGGTCCGGAAGAGTGTTGGAAGCATAGTCTCATCAATTTTTCATGGATAATTTTTTCATATTCTTACATTATTTGACATCCTGAATCCAAAAATGATACTTATATGTCATCATCAGCTTCGCGAGGGCAGTGTTTTTATAAGTTTACAAACCAACGATTTAACCCAACTGATATCAATTGTATCAACCGAACAACACAATATGAAAAGTCCAGCTCCAATATCAATTCCTGATTAATTCAAATTAAATGCATTAATTATCAAAAATGAAAATACACCCCCACCATATGAGTGCACCCAAAAAACTGGCGCGCCAATTCTGTCAAAACGCGTCAAAGATTTTAAGCCTTGATATAATTACCCTCACAAGAAAATGACGTAATGAGTTTAAAAAATGGTTCAGAGAAAAATGATTACATCTGGTAGTTTTTCGGAGTAACACAGCTTTTAAAGTCTATTTTATTACAATTGCACTAGTATATATTAGTAAAAATAAGCAAAGTGTAAGATCGTGCACTGATTGATCCATGCAACGCTGCAGGTATTTTATATAAATGATGACGTCATTTAAAGTAAAATAGTGTCGGCTTGCCTTGTTGTCGGCATCCGTCTTGATGCCAAATGTTGTGCGTGTGTTATGTGCTGTTGTAAATTGAGTAGGCGCAAGGAGGAAATACGGGAGTGTTTGTAGGATTGTCATAAGGGAAACTTTGACCGAAGGAGCCGGAGATGGGTAAGCATCATTGAACGAAACTGAAAAAATTTTCACCCAAATTAAATAAACAAAATTGAAATGACATATTGTTGATTTTATAGCGTTCCCTATTTGATAGGATGCCACAATTTTGTAAAATGCTGAGGAGAGATCATTTTTTCATTCCATTGTTCTGACAGAGTGATTGTACTGTCCACAGCTGTCAACAGTCAGACGTCCATGGTGCTGTCGCTGCTGCTGACGGTGGGCCTGTTCGCCGGACTGCAGCTGCTGAAGCCGCAGCTGACAGCCTCACCGCTGCTGACTGTGGTCACGGGCGGTGTCTGCTCGTTGCTGTTCCTGCTGCTGGTCACTGCCGTCGGTAACCTGGAGGCCACCCTGTTTGGCAAGGGTTTCCAGACCAAGCTGCTGGAGGTGGTGCTGTGCCTGGCCATGGCATGCACCGCAGCTGGGATGATTCACCGTGTTTGCATCACAGTCTGGTGGGTGCTGGGAACACAGGGTGAACTGTGAGTTCATACTTCCTGGTTGGTGGGGTCATGGGATGTGGGAGGGGTACTGTAGGCTTCCCATCAATATGTCTGTGTTTCTCCTTGATTAAATATCGACAGCTGGGGTGGGGCAGGTTAGGATTGTGATGATGACCAGACTAAGTAAAGGTGAGAACTAACTGGTGACAACTAACTAACCGGTAGTGAGAGCCCGGATGCCAGTCGCTCCGGCACTCGATATTTGAGACTGCTGATGGGGATGGTCTGTGGTTGGGGGGGGGGGGAGTAGCCGCAGTCGGTCGAAGTCGGTTGAGTGGGACAGGCCGTGGCCGGCTTTGAAGGGCACGATTAACTTTGGCATCTAAATTCTCCCGTTACTCGGAATTGCGCGATCGGGCGGCTGGGCTCGGGGTCTACGCGACAAGCTCTGCTTAGCGTGGGCTCTGGTGCTGTCAATCCGGTCATTCAAACATTCAGGCTATTTTTTTTTTACTCGTTTTTAACTTTATGTTATCCTAGATTCCTAACGCATATGGCTGATGGAACTGCGGAAGCTCTTTATCGGTGTCGGGTGAGTAAAGGCTACAGAAATTTATTACGATTAAAATGTGTTTGTTGACAAATACCTTGGGAACTTTTCCTGAATGATATGCTGACTTGACATAACATAATCCCGCGAATTTTAGAAAATTGATGCTAAAGACGCACAATACACTCAATATATGCCTTTATTTATTTCCCATGCTAGGGTACTGGTCGAAATACATAGGCTCTTCAACGCAACCAAACCGATTGGCATTTCTGTCAATAAGCTGTAGTCCTGTCCTGCCATTGTCCCTTCACTAACTCCCGCATTCCAATACGGTGACACACATCTGCATACTCCGTGTGACTCAGCGACCATTTGTTTCAGCTTTATCTTCTCACTGGCGGTGCTGTACTACATGAACCAGCTGTCACAGGCCACCTACGGTGCACCGGTAGCCGTCCAGCCGGCCCCCTCCAAGAAGAGGCGCTAAGAATCGTCTTACATTGACTTCCGAGCGGTGCGCAGCGCCGAGGGCTGGTGGATACCCCTCCTCGACGAACGGGGTTTATGGGAGACGCCGAATGTGATGACTCGATTGGCAGATCGAGATGGCGAAGATCCACGGACTGGCTAACTGTGCTTCAGGGGACTTCGGACGGGCATGGCTTCGTGACTTCGGTGCTTAAAGGGACTATCCCACCTTAACATTAGATTTGAGTTGAGATAGCCATCTTGATGGACGTTCTTTGAAAATCAGTGCCGTGAAAACCGTTTCTCCAGCAATTACTTCATCGCAAAGAAATTTGAGTTTGATTTTGACATCTGTGCAAATAAGTGCCACAATGTATTGGTATAGGCACTTAAATCTGATGACGTCATCAGGCTTTCGAACGTCCGTTAAATGTTTGACTAAAACGTTTTGTAGCACGCGGTGGTATATGCTGCGTTGCGCGCAACAAATGCCGCACTTTTAAATAAAGTCGCTAGGAACAGCGGAGATCCCAAAAAGTAAACAAAAGTAAAAGTCTAATATCTTGAAAACCGGTGAATATTTTTCGGTGAAATTTGGTAGATATTCGTTTTCGCTCTTTCTGAACCGAGCGACATCACTTTCATGCCAATTCATAAACTTTTTTAAAGGTGGGAGGGTCCCTTTAATGTGAAAAAACTCATAGATGTGACAAAACCGCTGCAAAAATTGGCGCAGGCGTCCCACGAGTGTGTGTGATATTTGCACTGCATTTTTATAGCTGGTACACTACATTTTTGTGCTCTAATTATCCAATAGGATGTCACTTAGACATTTAATGTACCGGACCATGGTTGTCCTAGTTATTGTTTCCTGGATATTGGAATGATTACCGCACATTCCTGTTAATAAACGGAGTAGTTACGTTAATACGCTTTACCGTGTGCCGATATATCCCTTTAACGTTAGCGCGGGCGTTTGGTTACGAGCGAAGAGCACGTAGTAGTAGTTTTTTTCATTTATCAATGGAACGGGAAATCTCGCTATGAGTGGCGCCCGGTCTCTAACGCTTTATAGAGGCTTGCTGGTAGGTACAGGGATGTTAAAAAAAAAACTGACATATTTTATTTCCGAATAACGAGAGAACACTTGCCCTCAGCACGGTGATCATGGTATGTGCAAATAGAGTGGACTTCTAAGTTTTTATTGAGGTATTTTGGGGTCTTATCATTTTCGTTTCTAAGAAGTTACAGCGTATTTTGCAGATGACGAGTTTTTGGAACAGTGCACGACTCCGGACTCAGCCCGAAACAGGAAATTATCCCCCGTTTACGGGCACGTGCCTGGAGAATTGCAACACCTCCCACCGCACTCGTCAGGAGTTTTGAAGTCCTTTAGGCCGCTGCTACAGACCATGTCACTCACGTGACCTCACAGGAAAAGACCACGGTGTTGAGGTAGAGAGAAATGGCCGGCTATGGGTGAGAGGTGATGCGCGAGATAATGCCCCCTCCCCCTGTTCTCGTATGAGACCGATGATCGCTGTTACTGAACGTGGGGTGGCCCCGACGTGCCAGAACCACCGAATGGTGTAGGTGTCGGCGCATTTCCGCTTCAGCAGCTAACGGGAGCCGTTCAAAGATGGTGCGGTAACACACTGAAGTCGCTAAAAACACGCATCGATTTCATTTTCATATCCCCTTTTTTACTGGTGGTAGCGTGTGCTTTTATGTAGACAAGAAACAGTGAGCATTGAAGAACATCACAGACCAAAACAAGTGATACCATTCATGTCACAACGACCACTTTCTTTGACTGTTGAATCATGTATTGACTATCCGTTTACAAACATTTTATGAACGGTAACAACCAGCTGAGTTACTGGTAGCTGGGCTGGTACGCCTGGTACTGGGGCTGGGGCTGGACGGGGGCCGCCTGGTAGATGGGGGCCGGGGCCGCCTGGTAGCTGGCCTGGGTCACCGGCACCTGCGGGGTCGGGTACTCGGTGGGCACGGGCGTCGGGAAATGGGCACCCTGCGGCTGGAAGCCGTTGGCGTCGGCCGTGTAGGTGACGGTGTAGGTGTTGCCGTAGTCGTCGGTGTAGCTGTACTGTCCCTCACGAGCGTAGCTGGGCTCGCCGCCGTAGCCAGCCACGAGCCGGCCAGAGTCGGAGGCAGAGATGCCGTTCTCCGTCTGGTAGCTGTGGGAAAGAACATTAATTAGATGTAGAAGCTTACAATATATTTATATAGGGGGATTCGTACAAGAAAAAACTTTTTAGCCATAAAACTTGAATTCATGATAAAACAAGGCAACTCGAAGCTAGCATACAAAAAACTAAGCAATTAGGTAAGCATTTCTACGAGTAAGCAATAAGCATGAGTCGACAACAGAGCATTTATGCGTACTCACCTTGCAACGTAGGACTGGTCGTCGCTGAGGTCATACTGCTGAGAGAGGATCTGGGGGACCTTCTGACCGTACTGCGGGGGAGCAGGGGCAGAGTAGGATGGCGGGGCCGGGGCAGAGTAGGCCCTCGGGGCAGGGGCAGAGTAGGTGGGGAGCGTCGGCAGCTTGTCGGCGGCAGCAACGGCCAGGACAGCGGCGATCACCAGCTGGAAAACAAAAACAAGAATGATTGTGATGAGCAAGAAACATTTAAAAGTGCCTTTTATTACAGTTTTACGTTTTCGATGACATGAGGGTATGCATATCAGAGATCACGATTTTCGTATTAGCACTTTGTTCTGGACATCGTTCTCTAATGCAAATGAGCGCATGTTACTTACCATCTTCATGTTCGGTTGATTTGAGGATGTGTATTCTGTGAGACACAATGGTTGAATGATGTCCTTTGCACCGGTCAGCCGGTCTTATATACCGGTCACGACTGGTCAGTCGGCATTTGGCGAGCCCCGCCCATCCACACTCAGAGCAAGGTCAGATTACCTCGCTCATTGAGGAAGATTGGTATGCCACACAGTTGACCACCGTTAGAGTTTTCCTCTATTGCCACAAATGTGTTTCAGTTGTTCGGAACATACCACACAGACCGGTTTATAAAAGCCGTGCATAACAGAGCAGAGACCTCACTTGGGGTAAATGTAATATATCACACGAGAATAACGAAAACTCCTAGACCCTTGAGTTCAGGATTCATTTACCCGCGCCCCGTTAGGGTCTGCCGAGCAGCGCGCCCTGCTGGGGGGGGGGCAATTTGCCCCCCCTTAAGATCTCGAGAACCACGCAACATAGCGACAAGCGGCAAACGGATAGCCCCAACAGGAAACTACCTTGTGACCCAATTTCATTGACCTAGGTCAAACCGATGACGTCACAGGTCAGGTCAAAAGTGGAATTTTCACTGTTTACAGGCATGTCAAGAAATGCGTTGTACAATCGAGTAAAATGCATTTCATTGAAAATAATCGATGGGGAATTGCTCGTCAAACACATATTTTGCTATTTGAGGTCACGGATACCAGGTCAGGTCGACCTTTTTACCTGAAAACGGCCTGACCTTAGCTAAATTCAACTGAAAATGACCTCAAATGACATAAACGACATCGAATTCGAAATATGTGGCCTAAATGGACCATAAAACATGTGTCATGTGACCGATGCATGATATAAGATTTCCGTACCCTGTGATGACCTGACCCTGACCTGAAGAGCCAAGAACAAGTTTGGCTCCCTCAGGGTATCTAAAGCATCTATTCACGAGTGTGTAAGCATAAAATGAGCCTAATCTGACTTCTAAGACCGCGGCCAGAGCCCAACATGTGAACAAGCCAAACATCGATAATTTTTACTTTGACCTGACCTGACCTGACAGTCGGTGTAGCTATGACGAGGATAAAAACTTCTTCTTAGGTGAGGTCACTTGACGTGACCTGGTGACCTGACCTTGAGAGCCCTGGCTCTATAAGTTTTTACAGCATGTGTGGAAAAGATGTACAATAGGTGTGCCAAAAAAAACGACGGCCCTCCGCGCCGCCGTTTTTGAGATATCTGCGAAAAGTCGCAGGGGGGATCTTCAATACCCTCCCCCCGGTCCGGCAATGGTTAAGAACCTCGAACGTGCTCGCTCACTTTTATGCTCCGGTGTGATAAGTGATTTATACCTACGCAGTCGAAAAAATGACTTTAAAGTGACGGTGGCCGTTCCACCCCGTTTTTTCCTACGCGATAAAAGTCGCTTTTACGTGATAAAAAAATGTTCTTATTTTAAAATGTCTTGCGGTTGTTCGTAACGAGCCTCAAAGCCACACCTTCCTTAACCCTATTCCTGGCGGGGGGGGCCTCAGGAGCCCCCCTGATGTTTTTTGGTTATTTCTCCCAAACGCGTTGAGCTAGGAAGCTCAAATTTTCTGACTTTTCCTAAAAGGCTTCTACGCAACATGTCTGAAAATTTTGAGTTGATCTGACCTCAGCTCAGGTCACCAGAGGCGGTTTGGTGACCCTACCTCAGAAAAGTTTGCAATCACGCCAGAGCTAGAGTTTTTGACCGATCAATTTCTTCTCTTCAGGCTTTAGTTAGGGTACCAGTATGTGCAATTTGTATATCTCGGAATTTTGATATCGGTGACCTAAGGTCAGGTCAGTTTCGCGACCTCCCCATTATAAGTCAATGGGGGAAAAATCAACTCCCTGTTTTTACCACTAAAACGGGTCGGAATGGCCCCATATACCATACATGACTTCATATACGATCAACCTTCACTACCTTGAGGTCTGTTTTGCTGTTGGGCAGCTGTGAGGTCATGTGACGTCATCAAAGGTCACCAAAGGTTTTTGGCCAATAACTCCGTACAGGAACAAGATACAGACGCGTGGATGGTCTCATTGTGTTCAGCTCGTCAAGACGCATCGAATGATATACATGATGACCTCGAGGTCACGTGACCTGAGGTCAACCTTTGACCTTGACCTTTCGAGGTCAACATATATATCATTCGATGCGGATTGACGAGAGGATCACGATGATGCCCTTAGTTTGTTCCTATCTTGACTAATTCGAAAGTTATTCGAGAAAAACTCTCTCCATATCTAGCGCCGCCATTTTGACTTTTTCGACCCCTGTGACGTCATCTTTGACCTGACCTGAAAATGACCTTAGTAAAAATTGTAGATCTTGACCGTGCGTATCCGATGCCGTTTACCATTTTTCGCTGCGATGTGTAGTTTTTGAGATCTGAAGGGGGGCCGAATCGGCCCCCCCCCCGCCAGTTTCTTGTCCCGGCGGAGCCCGCCAGGAATAGGGTTAACCCGCGAGTTGCTGGGGGGGGGGGGGCGTTAAACGCCCCCACTTTTTTCGCCGGGCCATAGCATAAAAACGGCGCGCCGCCGCACAGGCGCGCCAAATTTTGGGTACCTGTAGGGAATTAATTGAAGTTTATTGTGACAAAGTTAAAAAAATCGGTCGGAAATTTTTAGAGATATCGAGGTTTTAGTGACGTCATGATTTCTAAGTTTTCGACCAAAAACGGCATATGTTCAAAAAATCATATAAAATCACAGAATAGACATACGGACTTGCCGTAAACGCCATTAGACTGCCAATACCATGAACAATCATATGGCTATCTTCGATTATTGATTATCGTTCCGCATTTTCCAAAATCTTGAACTGAATCTTGGTAATTTCTCGTGACTACTTCACGACCATGATACATGCATTTCTTAAATTGAACTTTTTGAGCCAAACACGTACACATACCTACATGTATGATAAAATGAATGTCACCATCGTGTTCTACGCCCCAAATTACCTATAAAACATGTGTCACAGGCTGCGAATATCAGTTTTGATTTTCGGGGATATGTGCCTACCCGGTTGACCTGACCTTGACCCTGAGTCCCTGACCTATGCTTGACTGACCCCTACATGGAGCTGACACTCTTGTAGGCCTTATATGATGGATTGTGCACCGTTTTGACAGAGTTTATGACGAGAGGCGCCCATTGCGAAGTCTTGAAATCCATGCTACTGAAACCCGATTTCAGGTGTTTGACCTGACCTTGACCCGACCTGTGACCTTAAAATTCAACTTTAAAATACTCAGCTGAAGCGTCTCGTTGTGTTCTTTCGTTTGCCGCCTCGTGCGTTTCGCTGCGCCTATTAATTCTCGAGTTATCGGCTGGGGGCGTTTAACGCCCCCCCCCCCCCCCAGCAAACGGTGGGTGGCGAAATGCCCCAGCAACTGCCGGGTTAATTATCACCTCAGCGATTGCTTTCCGTCTCAGTTCAAAGAGCTCATTGCGATTCACATGTATTGTGTGGACATGGGACAAACACTCAAACATGAAGCACCTATTACAACAATATCACAACAGATATATAGACTCGTAAGCGTAAATTCTCTGAGCGTGCAACGCATGGTGAAGAAAATTAATAAATACGATCAACTAAATCACTGGTAGCTGGGCTGGTAGGCCTGGTACTGGGGCTGGGGCTGGACGGGGGCCGCCTGGTAGCTGGGGGCGGGGGCCGCCTGGTAGCTGGCCTGGGTCACCGGCACCTGCGGGGTCGGGTACTCGGTGGGCACGGGCGTCGGGAAATGGGCACCCTGCGGCTGGAAGCCGTTGGCGTCGGCCGTGTAGGTGACGGTGTAGGTGTTGCCGTAGTCGTCGGTGTAGCTGTACTGTCCCTCACGAGCGTAGCTGGGCTCGCCGCCGTAGCCAGCCACGAGCCGGCCAGAGTCGGAGGCAGAGATGCCGTTCTCCGTCTGGTAGCTGAGGGAAAGAACATTAATTAGATGTAGAAGCTTGCAATATATTTATATAGGGGGACTCGTACAAGGAAAAAAGTTTTTAACCATGAAACTTGAATTCATGATTAAACAAGGCAACTCGAAGCTAGCATACATAAACTTAGCAATTAGGTAAGCATTTCTACGAGTAAGCATGAGTCGACAACAGAACATTTATGCGTACTCACCTTGCAACGTAGGACTGGTCGTCGCTGAGGTCATACTGCTGAGAGAGGATCTGGGGGACCTTCTGTCCGTACTGCGGGGGAGCAGGGGCAGAGTAGGACGGCGGGGCCGGGGCAGAGTAGGCCCTCGGGGCAGGGGCAGAGTAGGTGGGGAGCGTCGGCAGCTTGTCGGCGGCAGCAACGGCCAGGACAGCGGCGATCACCAGCTGAAAAAAGAAAAACAAGAATGATTAAGGTGAGTAAGCAAACATTTAAAAGTACTTTTTTAGAGGAGCTACATTTTCGATGGCATGAAAGTATGTTTTTGCATATCTATTAGCACTTTGTTCTGGATATCGTTTTCTTACGTAAATAAGCCCTTGCTACTCACCATCTTCATGTTTGGTTGATTTGAGGATGTGTACTGTGCGAGCTGCACTAGTCGAATGATGTCCACTGCACCGGTCAGCCGGTCTTATATACCGGTCACGACTGGTCAGTCGGCATTTGGCGAGCCTCGCACATCCACACGCAGAGCAAGGTCAGATTACCTCGGTCATTGAACAAGAACGATAGGGCACACGGTTGACCGTTAGGGTTTTCCTCTATTGCCACAAATGTGTTTCAGATGTTTGGAAGATACCACACAGACCGGTTTATAAAAGCCGTGTATAGAGACCTCTCTCGGGGTAAATGGAATATATCACACGAGGATAACGAAAATTCCTTAGACCCTTGAGTTCAGGAGTCATTAACCCACGCCCCTTGTTGGGGGGGGGGGGCTATTCAATGTTCATAGCCCCCCTCACATTTTTTGCAATATCTACCTTCTAACCTTCTAAATCACTCAACGTATCAACGCCAAACTCTCAGTACCTTAGGTTGCATTAATTTGACACCTTGTGTCAAAATCTGAACTGCGTATCTATCATAGGTCGGCCGGAAATGACGTCAGAGTGACGTCATGTTCGGCCGATTTCGACGCAAAGCATTGAACCACGGCAATCGCTCTAAAGAGTTCAGTTTCTAAGCTAGATCAAATTTCTTTGCATGAGAGGACTCAGAATAGACAGCGCTATCAAACTGTTATTTGTATATATATATATATATATATATATATATATATATATATATATATATATATATATATATATATATATATATATATACATATATATATATATATATATATATATATATATATATATATATATATATATATATATATATATATATATTTAGGAAGCAACCCTTGATCTACACATGTTTGATTAAAGATGACCGAGTTTTTTGCATTCACCAGCTTTTTTGGTTCTTTTCAAACAATCTAATTATATCTTTTACATGCTGATCGACCTTATATATATATATATATATATATATATATATATATATATATATATATATATATATATATATATATATATATATATATATATATATATATATATATATATATATATATATATATATATATATATATATATGCAAGTTTTGTTAAACACAACAGCATAATGGGCACTTATCTTCTTCTTATTAAGACTTTCGAGGCGGCGAATGCACTGTCGAGGTTCGGGTTCGTGAGAATGTAAAATATTACCAAAAGATGTCATAAGTACAAAATATCATAGCTATATTGTTGTTCGACGTTTCGATCTATCAGAGATCATTTTCAAGAAAATTACAGTCACACAGTTTTAGAAGTCATACTTTGAGATAAATGGGTTCAATTACATTTTTGGAACAAATATTACGGATATGATACTAAAACGATTCAGTCGATGAGTCACAGCATTCAAAACAAAATAACACACTTTTGTTTTCGTACACGAGCTATAACCCTAAACACATTCGTTCATCCTCCGCGAAGGAAGGTCACATCAAAAACACCATAGCGAGATACGTACGCGCATATGACAGATAACTCAGTCAACCCGCCGCGAGCACTTTGTCGTACAGTGATAGAGATGTGTTCTGCTTTGTCTGAATGTTGATGATTGGCTTTTTGTCGCGAATGTACACTGTTTCAAGTGTGACGAGCCGTCTACGATCCTGACAGTGTGCTAGGATGGATGTGTTGGTCACGAGATCGTCACGTGTGAGTGCGGTGTTGTGATGCTCTGTGTAGTGTTTCTTGGGGGCTCCGTCCTGCAGGTGCATTGTGAGACGTCTGCTCAGAGACGTTGTGGTGTGACCAATGTAGTATACTTCGCGGGTCGCGCAGTCCCCGGCTGTACATTTAAACTGGTATACTACATTGGTCTGCTTGAGTGTTGCCGTGCTGCGTGTGGGATTGTTTTGCATCACCAGTGAGGATGTCTTGGGGCTAGTGTAGTAGACCTGAACTACCAGTCGCTGTTCCCCATCTGTAGGTTGGCAGTTACGGCGAACAATACCGCGGATCACCTGCTCATCCGTCTTCCATGTTGGAGACATCGTGCTGCGGTAGTACACTTTTAGCTCGTCTTTCTTTGTCTTTGGCTCCTTGTTTGTCACATGGTTCTCAAGCATGTTTTTTACAGCGTCGTCAAACATGGAATTGCTGTACCCATTATCTACTAGGATCTTACGAACCCTCTCAAGTTCAGTGTGAAGTAGATCCCAAGTCGAGCAGTGTTTCATGGCCCGTCTAATGTACGCCCTTATGACACCTGATTTGTACGAGTCAGTGACGTCACCCTCCCCATTCATGCACCTGCCGAGGTCAGTTGGCTTCCGATACACATCTGTGACGAATTCACCACTGCTGCAATCAATCATGACGTCCAAAAATGGCAGCTTCTGTCCTACGCTATGGTCAACTGTGAAATTTAAAACTGATTCCTGGCCTAGTTTCATGCGCAGCAGGTCTAACTTTTCAGCATTTTCGACGTCAACAAAAATGTCATCTACATAACGATAGTACATGAACGGTTTGACATCATCACAGAGCAGCACTTTCCTTTCGACAATGGGATCCGCACTAGGCGTTCTGTTTGCCCAAGCCTACATGTCCTATGTCGACAGGAAAGTGCTGCTCTGTGATGATGTCAAACCGTTCATGTACTATCGTTATGTAGATGACATTTTTGTTGACGTCGAAAATGCTGAAAAGTTAGACCTGCTGCGCATGATACTAGGCCAGGAATCAGTTTTAAATTTCACAGTTGACCATAGCGTAGGACAGAAGCTGCCATTTTTGGACGTCATGATTGATTGCAGCAGTGGTGAATTCGTCACAGATGTGTATCGGAAGCCAACTGACCTCGGCAGGTGCATGAATGGGGAGGGTGACGTCACTGACTCGTACAAATCAGGTGTCATAAGGGCGTACATTAGACGGGCCATGAAACACTGCTCGACTTGGGATCTACTTCACACTGAACTTGAGAGGGTTCGTAAGATCCTAGTAGATAATGGGTACAGCAATTCCATGTTTGACGACGCTGTAAAAAACATGCTTGAGAACCATGTGACAAACAAGGAGCCAAAGACAAAGAAAGACGAGCTAAAAGTGTACTGCCGCAGCACGATGTCTCCAACATGGAAGACGGATGAGCAGGTGATCCGCGGCATTGTTCGCCGTAACTGCCAACCTACAGATGGGGAACAGCGACTGGTAGTTCAGGTCTACTACACTAGCCCCAAGACATCCTCACTGGTGATGCAAAACAATCCCACACGCAGCACGGCAACACTCAAGCAGACCAATGTAGTATACCAGTTTAAATGTACAGCCGGGGACTGCGCGACCCGCGAAGTATACTACATTGGTCACACCACAACGTCTCTGAGCAGACGTCTCACAATGCACCTGCAGGACGGAGCCCCCAAGAAACACTACACAGAGCATCACAACACCGCACTCACACGTGACGATCTCGTGACCAACACATCCATCCTAGCACACTGTCAGGATCGTAGACGGCTCGTCACACTTGAAACAGTGTACATTCGCGACAAAAAGCCAATCATCAACATTCAGACAAAGCAGAACACATCTCTATCACTGTACGACAAAGTACTCGCGGCGGGTTGACTGAGTTATCTGTCATATGCGCGTACGTATCTCGCTATGGTGTTTTTGATGTGACCTTCCTTCGCGGAGGATGAACGAATGTGTTTAGGGTTATAGCTCGTGTACGAAAACAAAAGTGTGTTATTTTGTTTTGAATGCTGTGACTCATCGACTGAATAGTTACGGAGCGAGCGAAGCGAGCGTAGTCTTTCCTTAGATTAACAGAAATTTCTGAGTATGAGCGGCCGGCCGGCCGGCCGGCCGTGCGGACGCTTTTGCGAGGCTTATATCTCAGCAACCACTGGACCGATTTACACGCGGTAATTTTTGTAGGGTAGCTTCATTCCTTCTACCAAGTATTGGACTATTCCCGATGCATGTGGGTGACCCCTTATGCACGTGCCACGTGCAAAACGAAGAGGTGTCAGTTTTGGAATTGTTGCAATATCTCGGTAACTACTTGGCCGATTGCGCTGAAAGTTGGCATGTAGGTAGGCACCCACTAGGCACTGCATATCCATGTGCCAGAGTTGGGGTGCTGCTGCACGTGCGCACGTGCAGGGGTCGTTTCCAGATCTCGAGAACGGCTGGACCGATGGCGCTCAAATTTGGTACACGGTTAGGGACCAGTTAGTAGGGTGCCGTGCACAAGTCAGTTGGGACCCATTTTGCACGTGCGCACGTGCAGGGTGCCGCTTCCAGATCTCGAGAACGGCTGGGCCGATTGTGCTCAAATTTGGCACATCGCTAGAGACCGGTTAGTAATGTGCCGTGCACAAGTCAGTTGGAGGTACCCCCTCGAAATTTCGCACGTGCAAGGCCCACCCTCTCGCTCGCTCCGTTAGTCGCCCCAAAAGGCGTTATACTGGTTTTAGTATCATATCCGTAATATTTGTTCCAAAAATGTAATTGAACCCATTTATCTCAAAGTATGACTTCTAAAACTGTGTGACTGTAATTTTCTTGAAAATGATCTCTGATAGATCGAAACGTCGAACAACAATATAGCTATGATATTTTGTACTTATGACATCTTTTGGTAATATTTCACATTCTCACGAACCCGAACCTCGACAGTGCATTCGCCGCCTCGAAAGTCTTAATAAGAAGAAGATAAGTGCCCATTATGCTGTTGTGTTTAACAAAACTTGCATAAAAGAGAACCTGCTTCCGAACTATTCGAATATATATATATATATATATATATATATATATATATATATATATATATATATATATATATATATATATATATATATATATATATGTGAAATTTATATTTATATTTTATTTCAATTTTTTTACTTTACGAAAAAAACGGAATAAATGACATTGTACCCACTTTTTTAATAAATGACCTTGTATGAAATTTGACATTGTACACCAATAAAAATAGCACCATCATCGTGTTTCTGAGATCAAACTGCATCCAATAAATACCTTTTTTGTTGAAAAATTCCAACTTTAAAATTTCGCCTTTTTTGACCTGAAAATGGCCTGACCTAAGCTTAATTCAACT